TTCTCTCTCCCCCGACAACCCCCCTCCTCCCTTCCACGACATTCAGCAAGTCTTGAAGAAAAAAATAAAATCGGATAGGAAGAAGGAACACAAATATTGAAAAAAACAATACAAAAATGGTAGAGAATGATATTAAACAGATGGCATTACAAAAGAAAAGCCTCTTTAATAGAATGAATGATATTCAGTAAGGTCACACTGTAGAGTGTCACCTGACTCGAGTTTTTCATTCGATCATTTCCTTTGAGTCCAGTTCCATGAGACATACCAGAGAAACCCGTGACGTACTCCATGCTTCATGCTGTTTTGGCATCGGAATGTGCCTTTTTTGTTGAATTTTTTTCTCAAAGAATTCTTGCTGTCATGCAGGGACACATGCCATTCATAAAAAAGGTGCACGTCGTAAGGTACGGTCTTTTGCCAAATGGGGAGAACTTTCTGCCCCGAACAACTCGTTCTCATCGCTCAAATGTTGATTGCTGTCTGTATAAATAGAACCGCAATGTGCGTGTTCTATGACAAGAATGGTCCGAGGATCGAATCCTGAATCGACTTCCGCCTAGGCCAACCAATCCCTCATCTTTCCGGTATTGGGTAATCGGTACCAGACTAGTTTGGGAAGTTAAAAGCACTGACTTGCACATCAGATAACCAACGCAAATCTACTATAAGCCACCTACGCATTCACCATGGTTCTGGATGATCATCGAAAGCGTGGCGTATCCCAAGGACTGATGACGTCGGTAGACTTTGTCTTTGTATCAAATGAAGGTGAATGTTGTCAATATTCACATCGACGTCTTATTTCGCGATATCCCACGACAATACGCTTCCATCGCCTACAACACTACGAGTAGATATATCAGCTGTAGGGGAACGTTCGTCCCGCGCGTCCGCCGAAACTAGATTGCCCCGCCTACACCGCGCAGAACACTGCGATTTCGAGATGACATTACATTACCACTCAGTGCCAATGGAGCAAATGATTTGCATTAGTCTGTGTTATCTTCTCTTTTGTCTGACTGCCGTGGACCAAGCGCCAATCGTATGCTCCACTAACAACTGCGACATCTGTCAAAAACCGCGAGCTGAGCGCCGCGTGCGACGGCCGCGGCGTGCCCTAGTCTCGACGGACGCGCGCAACGAAGCGCATCCATAGGCCGCTATCATAGTCCGCGATCCGGCCCACGATCGCGTCGGCCTGGGCGGCGCCTACCCCTTGTTTACAACTGAATCTCGGTCGATACCGCCGGCCGAGTAGTCCCCCGGCCGACGCGCTCGCGGGCCGGATCGCGGACTATGAAAGCCGCCATAGCTGGTAGAACTATTCGTTCGTCCTTGTCCGGGCTCTCTCAGTCAGACAGTATTCCTCTAGTCAGAGCACGGTGAAGTGGTCCCCTCCAACCACCTATTCACTTTTGGACTCCTCAAAATGAATGAACAATGAAGTTGTCTCAATATTACCCGACCACCACAAACTTGTGCTTCTTACCCCCCAACCCTGCTCCTATGAGGCAAATCGCGCGATTGGAAAATGGACCTCATGTCCGCTCTCCAGCTTCTCGTGCCAATTGAGTTTGTGAGAAAGATGATACATTTCTGAACTAGATTATACAAAGGTTTGGGGCCCTGGGTTGCAGGACAAGTCGCTTGATGTAAAAGATAAGGATGGGTTTTCTTTTAGTGACAGATAATCCGCAGTTCCACAAAACCAAAAATCTTTTGATTTTCTGTAGATAAGCTTTCCAGGGTCTAACTCCTACTAGGTTCCCAACAAAAAGCTAATCTCAGGATTGTTTAATCCCTTTCCGAGAGATGACTTAACTATTTAAGCTAGCTAATCTGAAAGCGATTTCATCTTATCGACCTGCTTTCGTGTATGAAAACTAGACTTGTTACATTCACAAAACCTCCTCTTAGGAGGATGTCTATACTGAAAGAAGTCAAATTCTTTAATTAAGGAGTTCATCTTTTCATTGAACAAGATCCACAACCAAGTGGCTACCACAAATTTGGTATTCAATGTCGACAAGCGATACTTGCCTGGGCCTATAGAGCCTTTCATCTCTCAGAAATGACTGTGAGTGAACGAAAGCACTGATTTCTACTTTTTATGGCCCTCACAATTCCTGTTAAAACCAAAAGTGCAGTCAAATGACCTGACAACTTTAGATGAAAGTCGATTTCGTGGCCGCGTCCATAACCAGAGGATGGTCAAAAACCCTAAGGTTCTCGGGCTGTTAAATCCAGCACGAGGCATCGGGAGAACGCAATCAGGTTATTCTGTAAGACTAGCTCAATAGTGACAGCAACCAAAGAATAATCGATTATCCTTCAACAATTATGAAACTTATCGACACCTCATAAAAAGGGAACATCTTCACTTTATTACTTGTTAACTGTTGGTACCGGTTATAGGCGCACTCAGCTGGCTTGGATGTTATTGTTAGGTATGCAATCGTAAAACAGCCAGACAGTTTTTCAGACATGTACAAGGACAGCTCAGGGCTAGACAAATCAAAAGTGAAAATTTATGAGACCTTGGCAACACGAACTGCGGCGAAAAACAGGCACTTCGCATAAACATCAGATGATTGCTACCCTTTCCCAAACGTTGGTTACAACAAAAAGGGATGCAGTTGAGAGCCTACTGAGTATTAGTCCTGACTGTTGTGAAGATTTTGAAGTTGTGCTTCTTTCGCTATGGTTCCGCTCACGACTTTTACGAACTACTAGCAGATAATTTTTACAGTAGAGAATTTAAAATTTGGCATTGATTTTAACACTGAAACGATTGACAACGCGAAACAGCACCCCGACAGAATCAGTGCATCTATTTGCCTACTCGAGTGCAGCATTGATAGCGAGCGAAACACTACCACCTCCCACAAGCATCCTATACAGGGGCCTCAAAGAACTGAAAGGTCGTTAGGAGGCTTGATTGAGGCACAACCATGATTGCGATGCTTTTTCACAGAACTAGATAACCACTAGACGAAAGTTACTCCAAACAAATCAGTAAAGCAATTTTACTAGTAAACAGGTGAATATAAGGAAAGATTTCATACCTCCTCCTGATGGCGACCGATAGCTCACTTTGCCATTTGGTTATGCGCTCAGCCTCTACGGGCCAAGAATACCATGATAATTTTGAGAATTGGAAAACAAGCTTCTAGTACTTATAGCAATGTCAAGATTGGCCCTCCTCAAACCTTCTCTAAATGAGCAACAATTTGGGAACCGAGGAAAGAACTTTGAAAAAGACCTTTTGCAACACTTCCTCACATCCACTACTACTACTGACAAATACATAAACCATTTACATTGTCAAGGACAATTCGTGTAGCAATCCAGATAGTCGATATAGCCTGATTAAAGGCAGCTGTACTGTCAATCAGCTGACTTTATTGCTCTGCCAGCCCATAATACGAGCACATCTGCCTTCGATACGAGACTTTGATTGAAAAAAGGAAAACAGTAAGAATTAAAACTTCATTACAAACAGGATATAGCATGAATCACTGAACCCTTACAGTACATTTCCTCACCAACAAAATGAAACAGCGTTACATAACAATCTATACAAAAGCGCCCAAAAGAACTTTCCCAACACAGTGTACGGCAGTTTGCCATAAACATCGACGTACAACGGCTTCACTGACCATCATCGATCAACTGAAAATACGAATAAAGAATATCCCCATTATTTTATGCAAATTAGGGCGCGTTCATAGCCGCGAATGTGTAGGAATTCCTGTCAACGGCTCCTGCTTTTTTCATATCAGTCCCTCTTTTTTATACATCTTTTTTATACATTTGGCTTCACTATTCACTTCAAAAGCATGAATTTGTTCCGGGGTTCACTTGGATGTGGGACAAATATCATCGAATCACCGAAATGACAGTGAAAACTACTTGTTACCAGAATTGAATGATGAGCAAATGGCCTTCAAATACAAAACCTAATAAAAGAGAAGGTTTACGCTCATGCTAACTAATGCCCAAAATTCTTTGTCACCTCTATCCCAGCTATGTGCCCCATAAAGGACTAGACAAAACCGCGAGTGGGAACTATAAAAAAGATAAAGCTTAAGCTTGCTGCCACTTAAACTTTATTCTACCTTGATTCCTTCGGTTTCTGGTTTACATGGGGAAACTTTTTGCTTCTCCCCTTATAACGTTCCAATTCTGATTTACTCAAAAAATATTTTTCAAGTCTTTTAAAGCCTGAGAACAGTGTGACAACAAACTAGCGAGCACTTACATTATTTGCCGAGTGCTTGCTCTCGTCTCTTGGCTTCTCCGTTTTGTGCAATCTGGACCACTTTCCTCGTATCACCTCCAGGATTGTTATGCTTGTGCTCGACACGCTCAGCCTTTGATCGCTTGCCAGATGAGCCAGTGAATTCCTGGAATTTCAACTCTATGCCATCATATGCTCTATGATCAGACCTGATTAAGGTGAAGTTGGATTGCATAAGACCAGGTTTTCAGGTATGACAACTTTATGGCAGAATCGCTGCCACAAAACGGCTACTACTGTCCTTCAAAAACCTTTCAAAAAATACAACTAAACTAACAAACAAGTACTTCAAAAAGCAAGAAGCTAAGACAACGAACCGGTCCACCGTCCTTCTCGTACTCAGCTGCCAATTCTTCAGCAGAGCTCATTCTTTAGAATTTGTGAAATCTATAAACATTATCGTTAGAAGCTATTTATTTATTAGCGAATATGGGACAAGCAAGGCGAGAATTTCGCAACACACACGTCACCTTGCCTAAGAAACTTCCATGTAAACGAACACAAGCAACTTTGGGAAATCTAAGCCACAATGTGGCGTGAGAACTGTGAGAAATGGAGGAAAAGATGTCACAAAATCCACCCAGGATGAACAAATTTCGAGGGTAGAGGTCAGAATTGGCATAAATATTCGCGAAATGATTGATGTTCGGGGTCTGAACACTAGCACGGACAATCACGAACAACAAAGATAACATGGACATCAGCAGGGCCGAAGATAAGCAAACAGAGCAGCAACGGGCCTGTCTTATGACAAGACTGTCCAAAGACAGCGTGACACGGGAAAAGAAAAGGGCTATCTGGGGCAGTCCTATAGCAACAGTGATAGTGCCCAGGCACTTATAAAGGAAGTGGCTGGCAATATTGCGTAACATATCACAAGCACGTAACCCATCGAACTGGTAAACAACCAAACAAGAAGGTCGCGATCAGTCGATAACCCGCGTGGTCGACCGCCTCCCCGCCGCTCAGCGCCCTTCTATCACGTGGAATTGACCGACTGTTATCGATATATCGTGGCGTATGCCGCAGATTTGGCGCGGGAAGCGTCGGAGAATGTTCGGGAAGCGTACGATCACATGGTCGTTATGTCTACTTTCGAAATTTATGCAGGAATAGCAAAACGATCCGTAGAAATGTCGATTTTTATGGGAAGTGTGAAGCCATGTAAATTAACGTATTCGTAGGAAAAAGCTTTCCCACAATCGAGGGGATCCAATTGCCCCACACATAACCTAACGTTTGTTCTCAAAAAATCATCAAGCACTTACATGAAAGAGGGCTTTATACAATGTTAGTGAATAGATGCGCGTTTCTAGGAAAGATGGCGAGGCTCTAAGCTAAGCTTGGAAGAGGAAAAGATGTCAGAAAAAACGGACCTATTGACTCACTCATTCCCATAGTCCATTCACCTATTGGACAAAAGCTCAGGAATAATAACGAAAAAACAAGTTGAGACAAGAAAAAACAGGTATTGCACCAATTTGGCGCAAGTTGGCGAGAGCCGCAAGAATGGAAAGCTGGTTTTATGAGCGTACCAGGTTACCTTTGCAATATTTGGGGTCTAGTCAGGAATACAAGTTCTCTCCCCGGGCCGAGGTTCTGTTCATGACTTGCCAGTCTTGTGGGTCAGGAATAATTTCCCAATTACTTCGGCTCTCGTTTCTCTAGGCTCCAGCCAGTCCGAGTTAATTTGATAGCTATATTTAAGTCAATACTACTATCACAAATTTATTGAATGAAGCACGCTAATCTAAAACCGTCCCAAATAAAATATTTCCGAATAGGAGAGAGGATTTCCCATTCCACTCCTCCCGTAGTTTGCAAAAGTAGGGCCCAAGGTATGACCGACAATTTTACTATGTTCCATCCCCCTAAACGTACAACAATCACAGTTATCAAATTCGTAGTGAGTTGAGGGTCGTGCGCTGGAAGCTGAAAGCACCGGCACTTCCAGAACTTTCTATAACAACTTTCAACATAGGTGGTAACGGTGAAGAATATGAATGACCAGGCAATACTAAATGCTTCATCAAATTAGAATGAAACGTGGAAACTCGCTTATTCAGCTGTCGATGGAGGCCGGCCGGCTATCGATCGTGGTCGGGGCGGCCCGTGCTACTCCTTTTCCGGTTCACTACTCTAAGAAAAAANCTCCTAATGATAAGTATTAGGGGAGCTGTTTGAAAACTGCCGTTGAGAACTTGAAGTGTCACATTTGAATCATCGTTCCCAAGGCCAACGCCGACAAACACATGGCATAGCGCAAAATCTCAGTAAACAAAGGCAACACACTAAAGGACCAAAGATCATTTTGGTCCCGAAACGACCGCCTCCTCACTATGTATTGCTATTTAAAACATTATACTATTTACAAATAAAAATAATACAAACCTGAATATAAATGATGTAAGCCTATTAAAATATCAAAATGAAAAGGTCAAAGGTGTAAATTTAGTCAAGTAACGAGCAGGGGACACACCTCGTGCCTAACACTGGGCGGCAGAGCGCAGAGAAGGTGGGCAGTCGGCTTTGCGGGCCCGTAGTGGTGCTTAGAAACGTTCCTTAACCATGGGAATATATTTTCTGACCTAAGGGCATAAAAAGGAGCGGCACTGGAATGTTTCAGCAGAAATAGTATCACGGACGTTTACCCTTCTGAATGGAAATTAATCGATTAAATGTTCGATTCTTGCCCAAGCCCAGATTTTTGCACGAAGTAATCATCTCGTTTACCAGGGGCTTCTAAGGCTTACAATGACACCATAAAAAGTAACACCTCTTTGGCTACGTAGCATTTCTAAACACTAACGTACTCGGCACGAACATTTTTAATAATTGTAAAGCCGGCTGTCTCTTACTACCTGCGCTCTAGCGCCTAAGGTTAGGAACAAAAGGTGCCCCCATCCCAACTACATTTTCAAATGTAGAATGTAACATTTTTAATAATTGTACGATTGCAAAAATTTTGATCCTCTAGGCTTCCATCAGTCGATAGTACGACGACAGCACTTCCGAGAGCTCACTCCTTTGCCAAACCTGGCACTGTGAGTGATGTAAAGCTGAAATTGTGGAGAAATACAATTGTGGACTATCCTTGGAAAAGGCGTCCTATTATTTGTCAGTGAAAAAATAGCATAGGCGAAATGCAGCAACGCGGCGTGCGTGTGACGTATGACCTTTGGCAAGGCTGACAACTTTGGCACGTATGACAAGGTTTTATACGTCGAACTACGCGGTAAACGTTGGCAGACCAAGTACGTTTCTGACGCAGTTCCTTTGTGTGGTTTTATTATAACAGCGAATGTTACACACGTGATAAGTGAAGGTTACTTATGATGAAGCGCGAAGTTCGACAACTCGTGAGAAAAGGGAGTATTGATTGTTTTTTGGGGCCTCCTGTCACACTTTGCGTTACAACGTGATCGGCTTGTTTTAATTCTTTCAGCTTAACACTCTTACAATTGTAATACATATAAAAAATTACCAGAATGATGAAAAACTAGTTCCTAGGTGTGAAAATCTTTCAAGCAGTGCCTTCAGTGCCTTTTCAAGCCAGTTCGCTTGTTTACACAAGCTGCGCATGCGATATTTTCGCTGCTTGATTTCTTTTTTTTCAAGAATTGGCATCTGTTGAGCCAACGAATAAGCACTCCAAATTCATGAGCAGGACAAAAATTCAGTACGGGCGCCTGGCTCCTACAGTGACCTTGCTGCGAAATAAAATGCGATTGACGCACAACTTGGTAGACAGCGTATCTCTTTCATAGCCGGATTACTGTAGGAGCCGGTACTGAACCTCGTCTCTACAGTGAGCAGATGTTTCATTGCAGCTGGAATGAAGTGGCACAGCTAAGGGGAAGTCAATAAGCATTATGGGGATCAGTGCTATTTCGCTCATCCGTTGTAGAGGACAAAACTGATTACTACTGGAAATTCAGTTCGAAAAATATTATAAATGCCACAACAAGGAAGAGCTTGAGCAAAATGGAACTGGTAAAAAGTTTTAATAACAGCATTACTCAATGGATATTAGAACAAATATACTATGAAGATGAAAGCACGAACCTCTATGCCACTGTGGGCAATCGTTAGACAATACACACCGTTTGTTAAGTACCCTGAGGTCGGCTAAAGAAATAATACAGAATTTCTATGCACCAACTGGTAGTTTTGTTATCACATTGAAGTGCAAAACAAAATGAACACATGAAAAGTTGGATTTGACCTCATACCTTAGCAAAGTGCTGGTAAAGGCAGTCACGCGGTCGATTTGAGGCTTCCCACATTAATATCTCAAATTTAACATACCTACAGTGGAGGGGCCGTGTTGCAACCACGCGCCAGTGTTCACATATCTTGCGCAGGGGCTTTGAAGGATTGAAGTCCTTCACATAATCTCTGATCAGCTTTCAAACTCACAAATAGGGCATAATTGGTCAACAGATGAGGACGAAGTTAAGGACACTGAAATCGTGAAAAGACGAAGCAATCATGCGCTATAGCTAATAGTGCTACGCATGCTGCAAGCGCTATGGAAGCGATAATGAAATCTAAGCGACGCGAGACTCGAGGCATTGCAACGTTAACGGCCGCTTTTATACTTTGCGTGGGCGACTGGCGGAAGATGTCGACTTCGACAGGTATTCCGCAGGATGATGATTCATACTGAAACTTAATACCTTTAGACGCCCCCACACCTGTTCTATTTCCTTGATCATTTCCGGTTTCACATTTCAAACGACTGTGAAGTGATACATGAAGAGGGGCAGAAGAGGTACGGGCGCGTTTGGGCAACCTGTTGTGTCAAATTCTAGCAACCAATTTGCAAGATATCTATCAACACTAACGCCTTTCGCCCATAATAGAGTGCAAAGTATGAATGTAGCCTTCCATGAGCCCCGCTATTTGTACTAACCGCGTTCGTGGGGCGAACCAGTTCACCCACGACTGCCTCGTATCTTCCGAACATGTTACAACCACAAAGTAAAAATGAAGAATCAAGGAACAAGAACATTAGAAAACTGAGATGATATGTGGGCATATTTGAGATGAGGTGCAAAGCCCAATGAGGCAGTGCATAACCACCGATATCTTCCGTTAAACTCTAGAATCAAACCGAACCAAGTGAAATAGAATATCATCAAGTAATATTATGAGCAATCCAATCCAATGCGGTATTGAGCCCTTCGCCTTTGATGGCAGAACAGCCGTGAATTTGCCATTTTCGATCTTTCATTGATAACAGCCCCAAATCACTGGATATCTCAGCTGCTGACATGGCGTTCGCTTTATCCTGTTTATTAGCTAACACCAACAAAGACGCTTTGGCTAGGTCCTGAAAAGGAAACAAATAGCTCAGTATGGTAATGGGCACAGGGATGACTTACCTCGTGCTCTAACATTTCGTAGAGAAGTTGCTTCAGTAAAGGTAACCGAGGTGCGTCGGTACTATCAACCACTACGACCATTACGTTAGTGTGCGAGTAGTAAGATGACCAGGAACTTCTCAAGCTTTCCTGTCCACCGATATCCCACATAATCAGCCGTAAATTACGGTAGCAAACCTCTTCGACATTGCTACCGATCGTCGGTTTCGTATCAACAACATCACCCGTGACCCTGAAATGACACGAAGCTCGATTCAGATCATGGAGGATATCCTATTATAAATATAGTTGTGAAGAAATAATGAAATAAAATATAATATAATTAATTAATCAATGAGTGAATTCATGGAGACAAAGATAAGAAGGAACAATGGGTACTGAATACTCGCGCAGTATGCCCTTATGAAGACGAAGGGATAAAGACAAAAAACCAAAGTTTCTGTATCACTTAGAACTTCTCCCCAACCGGCACCCCCACTTGCCGGTTGCGAAGAAGTTCTAAGTTCGATGGCCCTTTTCCAACTGTCACGTATTTCAATTGCTTCAAACACCCTTGACGTTCAAAACGCATTAAAAACAATAGTGAGCCACCGATTTATTTATGCAAAAAAGCGTTCCAGTGCATAACAATCATTTTCACCTTGAATACCATTGAAATCCAATATTTATCTATTATTTATATTTATTTATTTATATTTAGCAACCAACCCAACCAAGCCTTCCATCCCTTCGGGGTCGGTGAATTGGTACCAGACTCGTCTGGGAGGATAAAAGCACTGACTTGTACATCGGCTGGCCACCGCAAGTCATTGTATAGGCCACATACGCACTCATTACGCCACTACGATTCTGAATGGAAGTCGAGTGCGGGGGCGCATCCCTCAGACGGGATTGATTAACGCCAAGAACTTTATCCTTTTTATATTTAGCAAATCGGAAATGGAGATGTATTTGAACTGATCCTTACCAATTGTACAAGATAGTTGTCTTTCCAGCATTATCGAGTCCAACGATTATAATCTTGTGTTCTAAATTGAAAAGTCACGTAATTCAACAA